TAGACGAAACTGCGCAAATGCCTCACGTGAAATACTTAAACAGGTACGCTTGCCTTACTTTCCTTGCGAAACTGATTTCCTAGCATCGTGTAGGCTTAAAACCGCACTTTTTTAAGCACTAATAGGAAGAAATGTTCACTTGTGTTGTTACTTAAACGAAATTGAACTATTTTCATGAATAATTCATCTCGAAAATTTCCCATTACATTGACTGCAATTCGACTTGAGTGTTGTTATCTGATTTCGAATCGTATTTCTGCTGAAGATTAGAGAAGCCCGTTGGACAGTGCCGTTTATCAGTATGTCATGTGGAGAATGATCGTTTGATTTATTTACACTCTGATTATCACTTGAAAACGATCGAAAAAATCCAGAAGGAATTATTTAACGAGGTAAGCCCATTGAAAGCCTTTTTTTAGAGTTTTAATCACATACGTCCCATTTGCCGCAGGCACTTGAAAGTTTTTGTATTGTTTTTTAGTGAAACCAATTTGGTAAAATTACCTCAATGACTTCAAGTAAAATAGCACTTTCAAGTAAAATAGTAAAGTAAAGTGAAGAAAAATAGTACAAATAGTTGAAGTAAAAAGTACTTTCAGCTTTCAAGATTTCAAGTAAAATAACAGTGATAATAATAATAGGAACAATAACAAATGAAATAATAAATGAAGGACAGACTGCAATAATACAGAGATAATAGAGTAACAATCGTTGATAACATTGCTGAATTTTAGTGGTCATCACTGGAATTATTTCCGAAAGGAGCGATAGATTTGTATGTTGCATGTGCTTATTTGCAAGAAAATGATGACGAGAAAATTGCATATCGTGTCATTATCTCAAAAATTGATGCAGTCAGTGTTGAGATCAGAGCTGCAGATCACGGTTGGAAGAGGTCTCTGCCGCTGGAAAAATGCTATGCTGGAAGTTTACGAATTCTGTCGAGACAGTATTCTCATGCTCCCCTTGTGCGTTTCATTTTCACTCATTTACACACCCGTTTCATCGTCTTTGAGCAAATGAAACGGCGGCTTGCGATGCTCAAGCTAGAAATATCTTGGATATATTATTGCTTGTCTTAAGTTGTTATCATTATGATGATACCAGTGAATTGCAATTATGAATGAATAGATTGAATTTTATTTTGAACCGCACTGGCAATGGTGCTGGTGAAAAGGTGATGAGTTTGGATGAGGCATGGCGCAGTGGTAAGTGTGCTTTTGTGTTGTGTAGAACGTCTGAGTTCAGTTCTAGGTAAGCACCTCTCATCTTGGCGCTTTAATGCTAGTGCGTAAAAGTGTATGCTTTGTGAGAGGCAAAGAATGTCTTAT